TCTGGTGAGGTCCATGTGTATAGTGTATCCTAAACAGTATCAAGGAAACAGTACCATTTACAATAGCAAGTCCCCCCCCCCAAAAAAAAACCCACCTAGTAGTAAAACTATCCATGGACATAAAAGATGTAGTATACAAGGAAAAGTATAAAACACTACTGCAGGAAATGAAAAGAGATATGTAAATAGAAAAATATTCCATGCTCATCGATTGGAAGTTTTAACATTGTGAAAATACCAATTCCTCCCAAGGTAATCTATAGATATAATGCAATCTGATCCAGATCCTACCCACATACTTTAATTAAATGGAAAACCTAATCTCCAATTTTATATGGAAGGCAAGGAGGCTCTGAATACCTAATTAGTATTGAAGAAAAGAACACAGTAGGAGGTATCACACTTGCTAAGTCTTAAAACATACTACACAGTCACAGTAATCAAAACAGCCTGGTACTGGTTTAGTGATAGACACATAGATCCGTGGAGCACAAACCCAGATTGTGGAGCACAAAACCATCCATATATGGACAGCTGATCGTCAACCAAGGGCCAAATTTCATTGATTGGAGAAGAAACAGTCTCTTTAACAAATGATGTTGACAGACCTGGATATCCATATGCAGAAAAATGAATTGGGATAACTACCTCACATCATGCAGAAAAGCTAACTCAAAATATCTCAAAGACTTAAAGCTAAAACAGTAAAGTTTCTGGAAGAGAAAATAGGATCAAAACTAGGGACCTAATTTTCAGCATAAATAGCTTATTAAAAAACCAACTAAAAATGCATAAACAACAGAAGATAAACTAGACAACTGGGACCTCTTAAAGATTGCTTGTGTCCATCAAAACACTTTACCAAGAGAGTAAAAAGAGAACCTATAGACAGGGGAAACAATCTTTGGCAAAGTCATATATGATACAGGTCTACTCTCTTAAATACATAGAAAACTTAACTCCATAACAAAATGACAATCCGATCTGAAAACGAGCAAAGGGCATGAACTTCACCAAAGAGAATATTCAGGCAACTAATAAATATATGAAAAAATGTTCATGGTCTTTAGCCATTCTCCACCACCATGGAGTTGACTCTGACAAAGTGCTCCATTGGGTTTGATTGCTGTACTTTTGCGGTGTGTTATTTCGTGGTCCTGCTGGTTTCTTAGTATCACATAGTTTTTTCGCACTGAGTTCATTTTGCTGTGGGTTTTCTTTTCATTTTCATTTATGTTGTGGCAATATTTAATAAATCTTTCTGATTTTCCTCTTGTTTATTTTGATGTGAAGGTGTATTAATTCTCTTTGAAGTTACCGTGAACTTTATTAATTTTTTACCCATTTAAAATAATTTGATAGTTAAGGTTATGTGTGAACTTGACTGGGCCAGAATTCCCAGTGATTTGGCAGTTGAGATGTGGTTATCTCTATGGCGATCATAATACAGGCATAGTTAACGCTGATGATTAGCTATGCACAGCCAATCAATTCAATTCAAACTTGGGGTTGTGGTCTGCTCCCAATACAACAGACACACAGGAAAAGATCTCTTTTCCTCCAGGGACCTGGAACTGTGTAGTTGTGAGCCATTTCCTTGATGTAAACTTCTCTTTATACATGTAAGTTTCACCTGGTTTGCTTCTCTAGAGAAACCAGACTAAGACTAATAGTCTGCTTTGTTTTGAAATCGACTTGTATTCTCACCATTTGGAAGTTCTGTGTGTACACTATTCCTTCTTTTTGCTTTCTAGTTGACTTCATTATGAATTGATATCTCTGGTTCCCTATTTTCAGTCCTGTAGGTTTGTTTTACTTTACTTCTATATCTGGATTGAGTTCTAAGTAGTTTTTTCATGTATGTTAATCTCAGGTAGTTGTCTGCAGCTGTTGGTGCTCAGTCCAAAGAACAATCTTTAGTATTTTTTGGTTATTACAAATTACTTTAATTTTTGTTAATATGGAAATGTCCTAATTTCACCATTGTATTTGAGTGCAGTTTTGCTGAGTATATGATTCTTGGTTGGCAGTTTTTGTCTTTCAGAGTTTTGTATATGTCATCCCATTGCCTGCTTGCCTGCATGCTTTCTGCCAAATAATATATTATCATATGAACAGTATCACCCAGGAGTAATTTTCTCCTGTAAATAAGCAATTACATGAGACAAAATGGTCAACACTTACCCAAAAGCAAAAATGAGAAGGCAAAGAGGGAAAGGGAAGCTAGATTAATTGAAACGGAACAAACAGAATGAAAATAATGAGAATGCCGACACATTGTAAAAACTGTATCCAATGTCACAGAACAATTTGTATAAAAATAGTTAAATGGGAACCTAATTTGCTTTGTAAACTTTCACCTAAAATACAATAACATATATTATTTAAAATAATTTAGTGAATAAAAGTGACATCTGTTTAAATACATCTTTAAGATTTAAAAAATAAAAAAGGTTTTATTTCTGTCATTTCATTTAGTTGATTCCATCACAACTTGAAGTCTGGAAATGACTGACTTTAAGCAGGATTCACAGGACTATACAGTCTTTCATTAGTAAATACTTAATAAATATTTGTTGATTGCTTTTCAAATATTGAAAAATATATGTTGTTATGTATGTATATCATTGTCATATTTTCTCTTCAGTCAAGTTTCACTTCTTTCTTGCATATTTAATGTTTTTGGGAATAGGAATAATGTCATAGATTTAAAAGATTAAAATTTTTTTCTGTTTCTTTTAATTTTTAGAAAACTTAGGTAGTCTTTTCATAAAAATCTGAATTTCTTCAGTTTTAGTTGTTAATTTTCATTTTTCACATTCTGCTTTAACATGATACATCTTAAGATTCTAGCTCTTTACCAGCTGTTTTGCTACAAAATTGACTCTCATAAATAAAGTTTAATGTCTCAGTTCATTTAAAACAAAATCCTTCAAGTGTATCTATGGACTGTAATGGTGAATGTAAAAAGCCCCAAATTTATAATGTGTAGCTTACAATAAGAAATTGAGCTGAATTTTTTATTTCTTAATACTTATTTTTCTATTTTAGAAGGAGGAAAGAGGACAATTGAGATATCTATTCCAGGAGCAGAAGTCACAGAAAGCTCAAAATGCAGTACTGTCTCTCCTACCAATGGGATAAACACAAGAAGGTAGGGTTGCAGTATAAATAAAACCCAAAACAAAACTCATTGACATCAAATTGACTTGGAAGCATTTGTTGTTGTTAGGTGCCATCAAATCAATTTCGACTTACAGTGTCCTTATGCACAGCAGAACGAAACACTGCTTGGTCTGCACCGTCCTCACAATTGTTGTTATGCTTGAGCCCATTGCTGCTGCCACTCTGTCAGTCCATCTCCTTGAGGGTCTTCCTCTTTTTCACTGACCCTCCATTTTACCGAGCATGATGTCCTTCTCCAGGGACTGGTCTCTCCTGACAATATGCCCAAAGTATGAGAGATGAAGTCTGGCCATTGTACAGCATATTGGCTATACTTCTTCCAACACAGATTTGTTTGTTGTTTCTAGCATTCTGTGATATTTTTAAGGTTTTTCTCTAAACACCATAACCCAAATGCATCAGTTATTCTACAGCCTTTCTTATTCATTGTCCATCTTTCACATGCATTTCAGATTATTGAAAATATCATGGCCTGGGTCAGATGCACCTAAGTCCTTAAACTGACACCTTTGCTTTTGAATAATTTAAAGAGATCTTGCACAGTAGATTTGCCTAATGCAATCTATCCTTTGACTTCTTGAATCTTGTTTCCATAAGTGTTGATTGTGGATCCAAGTAAAATGAAGTTTTGACAACTTCCATCTTTTCTCCATTTATCCTAATCAGTTATTTTTAGTCCTTGGGTGAGAATTTTTTACATCGAGGTGCAACCTATACCGAAAGCTATGGTTTCTGATGTTCATCAGTAAGTATTTTAACTCCTTTTCCATTTCAGCAAGTGTGGTTGCATCATCTTCATATCGCAGATTGTTAATGAGTCTTCCTTCAATCCTGATGTCATGTTCTTCATATAACTCAGCTTCTCCAATGATTTGCTCATCATTCAGATTGAATAAGTATGATGAAAGACTACAACCCTGCTGTACACCATTCCTAATTTTAAACTATTCAGTGTCCCCTTGTTCTGTTCAAACTACTGCCTCTTAGTCTATGTATAGGTTCCTCATGAGCACAGTTAAGTGTTCTGGAATACCTTTTCTCCACAATGCTGTCCATAGCGTGTCATGATCCACACAACTGAAAGCCTTTGCATAGTTAATAAAACACAGATAAAACATCTTTCTGGTATTATCTGTTTCAGCCAAGATCCATCTGAATCAGCGGTGATATTCTGTGCTCCACATCCTCATCTGAATCTGGCTTGAACCTCTGGCAGTTCCCTGTCAATGTGCTGTTTGCACACATGTTTGAATTATGCATGTGATTTTGATGTTGTCTGATTATTTTCACATTCCATTAGTTTACCTCTCTTTGGAATGGGCACAAATAATAGATATCTTCCAATCAGTTGGCCAGCTAGCTGCCCTTCAAATTGCTTAGCATAGAGTGCCTCAAGTCAGTGCTATATCAGTTTATTGAAAGATTTCAATTTGTATTACATCAATTCTCAGTGCCTTGTTCTTTGACAATGCCTCCAGTGCACCTTGGACTTCTTCCTTCAGTATTGTGGGCGCTTGATCATATACTACTTCTTCAAATGGTTGAACATTGACCATTTATTTTTGGTACAGTGATTCTGTATTCGTTCCATTTTCTTTTGATATTTTCTGCATCATTCAGTATTTTGCCCACAGAATCCTTCAATATTGTTAAGTCAAGGCTTGAATTTTTTCTTTAGCTCTTTCATCTTGAGAAATGCTGAGCGTGTTCTTCCCTTTTGGTTTTCTAACTCCTGGTCTTTATAATATTTGACTGTCTTTTCAAGCTGTCCTTTGAAATTTTCTTTAAAGTTCTTTTACTTACTTTTTTTTTTCCATTTGCTTTAGCATCTTTCAGAGTCTATTGTGACATCCATTTCAGTCTTTTTCTTCTTAATGACCTTTTGCTTTCTTCTTGTATGATTTTTTTTTTAATGTTTTATTGTGAGTTATGTGATAGTTTACATAGAAGAACATTAGTTTTACATTCATTCTTTCGTATATCGTTTCACTGCCATGGTTATAATCCCCTCCATGCATCATCAACCAACCAAAGGGTATACCCTGCAAGCCTGCCCCTGACACTGCTCCTCCCGGTCTTCAGCACACAGTCCCTCTCCCTCTCTGGATCTAAAGTCCCCAGCTGCTCCATCTCTCCACATCATCATCTCTGCCTCCATCTCAGGCATTGTATGATTTTCTTGATGCCATCCCAAAACTCTTCTGGTTTTCGATTACTAGATGTCTCATAGACATCAAGTCTGTTCTTGAGATGATCTCTAAATTCAGGTAGTATTTTCCAGATATTTTGGCTTTTGTGGACTTGTTATAATTTACTTCAGCTTCAGCCTGAATTTGCCATATGAGCAAAGGATGACTCTGTTCCACAGTCTGCCCCTGGCCTTGTTTTGGCTCATGATATGGAGTGTTTTCACCATCTCTTCACACAGATGTAGTCAGTTGGGTTTCTGTGTATTCCATTTGGTGAATGCCATGTGCATAATCATCTTTTATGTTGTTTTTAAAAAGATAATTGCATGAACAAGTCATTGAGCTCACAAAATTCCATCATGTGAACCCCAGCATCGTTTCTTCACCAAGACAGTATTTTCCAACTACTGATCCTCTTCGTTTCTAACCTTAGCATTCCAATCACCAGTAATTACACCTTGATTGTATGCTTGATCAATTTTAGATTGAAGATTTAGTAGAATCCTTCAATTTCATCACCACTGGCTTTAGTGGTTGGTGTGTAAATTTGAATAATAGTGATATTAACTGGTTAGCTATGGAGATGTATGGATATTATCTGATCACAGACAGCATTATACTTCAAAACACATCTTGAAATGCTCTTTTTGATGATGCCATTCCTTTTCAATTTGTAATTCCTGGTATAGGAAACCATATGATTGTCAGATTCAAAATGGCCAATACCAGTCCATTTTAGCTCATTAATGCCTAGGATATAGATCTTTGTTGTTGTTGTGAAGTGCTGTTGAGTCGATTCTGACCCATAGCGACCCTGTATAGGGTTTCCAAGGAGCAGCTGGTGAGCTTGAACCACTGACCTTGCGATTCAAATGACTTACTTTGCAGTCTGATGCATTAGCCCACAGTGCCACACCAAGATTCCTGGATATCTATATATGTTCCATTTCATTTTTGACAATTTCCAAGTTTCCTAGAGTGGTACTTCATAATTCCATGTTTTGCTTATTAATGTTTGTTTACAGCTGTTTCTACTCATTTTGAGATGTGCCCCACCAGCAAATGAAGGTTCCCCAAAGCCTTACTGCATCTGTGTCATATGGTCAGTTCTACTTTGAGAAGGCAGAGCTTCTTCCCCAGTCATATTTTCAGTGCTTTCCATCTTGAGGGCCTCATCTGCTGGCACTGTATCTGACAATATTCTGATGCTGCTCATAATGTTTCAAATTCAATATTCTTGTGCTATTTGACAGGGTTCCACTGCTATTCGTAGTGTTTTCAGTGATTGAACATTCAAAAGTAGTCCTGTTTTTCTTCCTACTCTGTCTTAGTCTGGAACTTGTCCATTATGGGTGATCATGCTGTTATTTAAAATACCAGTGACATATCTTCCAGCCTCACAGAAACACACAAACCACACAGCACAACAAACTGACCGATGATGGTGGCCCTGTGTTGATTCATAGATTCCTAGTGACCCAGTATAGCGTTTCCAAGGCTGTAAGTCTACACAGGAGCAGAAAGCCTCATCTTTCTCATGTGAATCGACTGGTGGGTTTGAAACCCAACACTGTAGTTAGCAGTGCATTGCTTTTCCTACAACACTACAGTAAAAAAAAAAAAAAGATCGTGAATATGGTGTTTGTCTTATCTTTTTGCAAAAATAAAGTATGTAGTATTTGATTATCAACTTCAGACAGACTCACTGAAGTAGAGAAAAGAAAGTAATTGTAGGAGAACCTTTTTGGGGAGAAAGAAGAAGAATCAAAGAACAAGCCTTAAATAGACAAGCAAAGGCTGGGAACTCATAACAAAAACAAGGATAGTAACATAGAGAGAGAGCATTGTGGGTTATAAAAATGTTTAAAGATGAATGATGATTACTTGCTCTGTTGTTCTCTTTTGTTTCTCATAAATAGATCTTCAGGGGCTGCTAGTAATTCCTGTTCTCCATTAGATACCACTGCAGGAAGTGGACGATTTGTACCGATTAATCCAAGAGGCAAGGTACGTGATGAAATGTAATTGTGAAATGTGGTGAAGTGGGCAGGTGGGGAAGGATGAGAGGTGGCTCATTTAGTGAGTTTAATTCTTAGTTATTACTCCTCACGTATCTCAAAGACAGAACAAAATTCTTAGAAGAAAAAAAATACTAATTCACTTTCATCAGATAAAAAGAAATCATAGGCCTCCTCTTTGTAGGGTAATGAGGAATAGGGTAAAATTCAGTGGGATTTCAGCACTCCTTTAAGACTATAGAAATTTCAGGTTTCAGGTACTTATTCCTAAATAGAGAGTGTGGCAGGACACAAGTGTGCCTGGAATGGATTGTAGGTGTACTGAGATATTATAGGTCCTTGGTGTGGCTGGGTGGGGCCCCGGGGCCACTTCTTTGTCATTTTACTCCAGTCTGCCATATCTATGTGTGCTGCTGGTTAAGGAGGTTATGGCACAAAGGGTAAATAAATCTCTTACATATTCTTTATGTTTTGGTTTGCTATATAGGAATGTATAGAAGCTAAGCATCTTACAGTGTTTTTGCAGAAGGCATCTTTTCTATGTTTTTAATACAGTAAAATATAGTTTCTTTAACTGGTTCTAGTAAATTGTGAGCATATCTTAAAATGATAAAAATTATATTTGCAGACTTGAGCAACAACTGTCTGATGTAGGGGGATTTTCTTTGTTATTCTTTTTACTACCTTTAGTAATTAGACCAAATAGTAGATTCTTCAATAATCATTGCGTATTTACAGCCCAAATTACTTGATAGGATCACACATCTCAGTTACCAGGAGAGAAGATTTGTCCATTTATTTTCATATAATCTAAAAAGCTTTGAAGTGAATTCTTTTGTATAATTTACCTTTGGTTCCTGGAATTTAGTACCAAATTTAATTTCCTCGGGTCAAATAATCTTTTTGTGATTTTCAAAGTTGTGCCAGGTTCATTCTTTTTTTAAATTAGGATTCAAATCAATAAGAATTCTGTTTACCATGAAATCCATTATTTGGGAGGATTGCTATATAAATATAAAAATTTAATTTTTTAATACTCTGCAATAGTGTAGGATACCTCGGTTGTATGTACTTTGTCTAAACTGTAAATCTTGATTGGTCTCATGTTATTATAAGCTCTATCTGGTTACTTTCTAAGTTCTTTCTGCATTTTTGTTCAACAGATTGAGAAACAAAATGAAGAAGGATGGTTTGCCCTTTCTACCCATGTGTCATAAGTGAAGTCAAGTCCTACAGAGTTTGGTTTTGCCTCAATAATTTATTCTTGAGCTTTTGCTTCTATTTCTCTGCTCCTGTTTTAAAGTTTTTATGTAATTCTTTCAGCTAAAACCTGCAAAGATCCTATTAATTAGTACTATTGGAACAAAGAAATAAAACGTTTTTAAAAATTGTTGACCTTTTCGAATAGGTTTCAACAGCCAACCTAAATAAACTCCTTGTGAATAAAAGCCTGACTATAGGGAGATTAAAGTTTTATATTTTAATAATTTCATAGGCATTTTGGTTTTCTTTATTTGCGTAATTAATACATTTTTAACTTTATCATCATAATTCAGGATCTTTTTGTTGTTTGTTTTTTAGTTTTTTGTGGTTTTTTTGTTGATGTATCTTATGAGTTGAAACTGACTCAATGGCATATAACAACAACAAGAAGTGTTGACCTGTTTGTTTCATTGTATTTAATTGTTTTTCTAAAGAACTGAGTTGCTTTGCATAAATCATATGATAAAATGCCTGTGTTGATTAGTCTTGCCTTCAGAAAAATTTAATGCCCTCTTTTGGTTTCTACTTTGGCAGGAAAGTCAATGTTAGCTGTCACTTTTTCCGTGAATAGATGTGGGAGTGTTTGTATATATTGGGATCTGCTTAAGTAGGTGCGAGTGGTTGTGTGTATTATAAAATCTTAGGTCCTTTCTAAGTGCTAAATTGTTTTCAATAAATTCAGTGAAACTGATTTCATGGTATATTTAGAGTTTTAAACAGAATTGAATACAAAAAGTTAACCATCCATTTTTCTCAGTTCTGAATCTAAGCAGATTCATTCAAGGATAGGTCTTTTTGTAAGGAACCTGTTAAACTTTCAGACATTGGTTTTTAGAGTAAAATTATTTTTTGAATGATTTTTACCTTTTATTCTATGATAGGAATTGTCTACTACTAGGATAAGCATGAAAGTCCTGGTGTGGCGCTCTGGGCTAAGGCGTCAGACTGCAAAGTCATTCAAATGCAAGGTCAGTGGTTCAAGCTCACCAGCTGCTCCTTGGAAGCCCTATATAGGGTCGCTGTAGGTCGCAATCGACTCGATGGCCCTTAACAACAACAACAACAAGGATAAGCACTCGACCGTAAGGTCAGTTTGAACTGTAAGACCAGCGGTTCAAACTCAACTAGCCACTCTCAGAAATGCTGTTACAGGGTCGCTCTGACTCTGAACTGACTCGATGGCACTTAACAAAAAAATTATTTGATCCAAGTAAATTAAATGGCTGGGTTTGTGCATTGATACTACCTGGGGGGCTTTGTCAGACAGCACCCTTCTTTCCTCTGTACTTGTAATCATTGTTCTAGGAGGTGACTTATGCAACTTTCAGTCGGGCCTCTTTGTTATAGTGGTGGTAAAAATGAAAATGAATTTCTTCTGTTACACTGATACATAGGTTTTCATTTGAAATTGTCTGTATTTGTTTACATTATTGCAGACTTTTCTCATTGTCTTGTACTTTTTGATTCTTGTTGTTTCCAACTCATAGCAAGTCTGTATAGGATTTCCAAGGAGCAGCCAGTGGGTTTGAACTACATACCTTATAGTTAGCAGTCCTATGGTTATACAGCACCACACCAGGAGTCATTTTGAGTCTTGGTATTTAATAAATAGTATGTTTATCTGTTATCTGTTTGATTTGTGAATGTATCCTTTTGTTATGCATTGCCTTGAATGTTTTCCAAGTGGTTGGCTCTTTATTCCCCCTCCCCCCCTTATATTCTTTTTAAACCTCAGAGTCCATGATTCTCAACTTGGGGAGCATTTGAAAAATACTGAACTATCAAGGGTGATTCCACTATGAAGCCAGGTGGAAGAAGTGCAAAAACTTTTACCACTAATTCACTGGCAGTCTGTAAGACTGATATTTAAATATTTCTCCTGTGTTAGTTTTGCTGATAAAATACAAAAGCAGAAAAAACTCCAAGAAAAATGGATGAGCAGAAAAGAGCTTTTTCTTTCCTAGCAATGTGTCTCAACCTTGGCTACCATTAGAACCAACTGGGGACTGTTAACAATTGCTAGCACTCAGATCTCACCTTGGACAAATTAAATTAGAATCTCTGGGGGCCTGACGTGAATATCAGTACTTTTTCAAACCTCAGATGATTCCCATGCTCAGCTATGCCTGGACAATACTGTTTTAAAGATACCTACTGCTCACAGTTCATAAATTGGTACATCTTTGGTTTTAATTAACACTTAATTTAAACTACTGTGGGGCTTCTGTTTATCAGCTCTCAGAGCCATTTGCATCAGCATCACCTGGAATGCTTATTAGGCAAGTTATTGGAACCTATTTCAAACCTGGACTCCCGGTACTGTAGGATCTACATTGGACTGTGAACCACATGGTTGACAATTCAAACCCACCAGCTGCTCCTTGGAAACTATAGAGGGTCTCTATGAATTGGAACCGACTCGATGACCCTTAACAGCAACAGTAGCAGCCCCAGACGTAGGAGTCCTTGTATGATGCTGTAGCATATGCACTGGACTGCTAACCACAAGGTTGATGGTTCAAACCCACCAGCAGCTCCTCAGAAACCCAGTACAGTGTTGCTATGAGTTGGAACCCACTTGACGGCATTTAACAACAAACAACAACACAAGACCTAAGGATCCCTGGTGGCACTGTAGGATAAGTACTGGATTGCTAACCACAAGGTTGACAGTCCAAATCCATCAGCTGCTTGAGAGCAAGAGGAGGCTTTCTGCTCCCATAAAGATTTACAGTCCCAGAAACCCTGCCCAGGGTCTCTTAGAGTTGGAATCTACTTGATAGCAGTGGCTTTGGTTCTGTGTAACCCAGAGCTGTTGAATCAGAAACTCTGTTGTCTGGTTCAATAAGTCCTCCAGATGATTCGGATTCGTGTTTAAGTGTGATAACCACTAATTGATAGCATTGCAAAGGGGCAGTCTCTCCTGTCTGACAGTAATGTACTGTACTACATTTATGTTTACTTCGAACAATCCACATGATTTCCTTGTGTTTTGACACAAGTTTTCAGATAACACAATTCCTCCAATATTCTTCCAAAAGCTGCTAATCGCTTGCTAAACTTTAAAATCACAGTTCTTCAAGTTACAGTACAGGAGAGAGACTAGACTATTAATTAAATCCAGTTATGATACACTCATTCTCAGAGTCTACAATGAAATCATTTGGATTAATAGTAGTTTCTTGCCTTAGTGCCAGGCACTGTTTTAGGCTGTTTGCATGACTTCATCGTACCCTTATGAGGTAGGTACCATTATCCTTATTTTGCAGTTGAGTAAACTACCAGGACTTACAGCTCATGCTTATATTATTGAATTTTCCCTACTGTATGAGAATTAACTAATAAACCACAAGTGTTGCAATCAACTTGGATTCAGAGGACAACTCTGCTGCTCGCTTAGCTGTGTACCTTAGGGAAATGACATAGTCTCATCTTTTCCATTATATGCCAGAGGTAATAGAGTAGCTTCCTTATAGGAGTGTGGTAGTGCCGTGGTTAAACATTCACCAAAAGGTTAGTGATTCAAACCCACCAGCCACTGCAGGAGAAAGATACGGTAGTCTGTGTCCATAAAATTTACAGTCTTGAGAACCCTACGGAACATCTCTACCCTGTCCTATAGGGTCATTATGAATCAGAATGTGTGGGGCTATTTGTTGTTGTAAAGTGCCGTCAAGTCGGTGCCGACCCATAGTGACCCTGTATAGGGTCTCTGAGGAGCAGCTGTGAACTTGAACCACCGACCTTTCAGTTCAAATGGCTTTGCAGTCTGGTGCATTAATCTATAGTGCCACATCAGGATACATTGGGGTTTTTGATTCATAACTCTTTATTGTTATGTAAATTTGCTCTCTTGGAAACATTTGAACCAACCCTTACTGTCAACAGATTGGTCATCATAATTGCCTTCACTTGTTGCCCATGCAGCTTTTAAACCAGTGAAAAAGCTTCAGGCCTCTTGCACTAAAGTAAAGGCTAAGTAAGAACCATATGCATATGTTGCAGTTTACCTACAGATTAGACTTAAAGACATATTTAGGAATGGGTTTTGTTCATAATCCAAGAACTGCTTATATTCACATGTAAAAATGTTTGGAAGGCGAAGAAAAACATTAAAAATTTTGAAAATGTAACTAACATTGCTGTTTAAAAAGAAGTTCACCTGTGTTTCTGATTTTTCAAATTCGATGACTATGTTGTTGTTGTTAAGTGCCATTGAGTTGCTTCCACCTCATAGCAAGCCACCCTGTATAGGGTTTCTGAGGTGCAGTGAGCTAGTGAGTTTGAACTGCCAACCTTGAGGTTCAAACCTACCTTGATATTGAGTGTTTATCCTATAGCACCACACCAGAATTCCTCACTGAGTATACCATATAATAATAGCAAGGGCAATGGCGTTTTAAATTTTATTTTAGTTTTAGAGAATACTGGAATTAAGAGAACATTTCAATATGTCCTACTACGGTGCAGTGAATTACTTAATATGACCCTTCTAGCTATAGTCTTTGCGACTCCCACATAATGATTGGGCTGTTGTTATTAAGTACTGTTGAGTCACTTTCCACTCATAGAAACTCTGTGAAGGGTTCTGAGGCTGTGAATCTTTTCCTGAGCAGAAAGCCTCATCTTCTGCGGAGCAACTGGTGGGCAGGAGTGTGCAAATAAGATGCTTGTGGCGCTCACCTAAGGGACTGAAAAGCTTTCTGCTAATACAAATGAAGTCTGTGGAACCTGTTATGGTTAAGATTGCTGCTCTCCAAAACTGCATGAGCCACTCCTTCATATTTGTGAGTTTTGTGAGATGTTGCAGCACATTATGGAACTCAAAGATGGAAGGGAGAGTATTGAGAAGAGGAAGAGGAGTTGATGTTAGGGATGATGGAATGGTACAGCAGTTTGGAAAAGTTGGACATCTGGCAGCTTTGTGCTGTTCCTTCTAAAATGATTTATTTAC